CATCGTACTCACCTACGACGGCATCAACGGCGAAAAGTACACTCTCACCTTCATCGACGCCTACTCACGCCACGTGTGGATCGCCAACGTTGACGCCCGCTCCAAGGCTCCGGAGGTGTTCCGCATCTTCCTCGCGCACGCGCAGCGACAGTCGGGGAGGAAATTGAAGATCTGGCAGAGTGATGGGGCAAAGCAATTTCGGAGCAATGAGCTGGAGAGTGTACTCACCGAGAAGGGGATCAAGCATGAGATTTCTCTCCCCTATGCTCACCCGCAGCAAGGTGTCGCCGAGAGGGTCAACCGCACGCTCATGACCAAAGTTCGCGCCATCATGAATCATTCCGGCCTGCTAAAGAAATGTTGGCCCTATGCCATGAATCACGCAATGCGCCTGCACAACCTCCTCTCCACCACCACCAACAGGGATAACCTGTCCCCTCACATGAAGTGGACCAGCTCAAGGGGAGACCCCTCCATGCTGAGACTTTGGGGATGCATGGTGCAATATCGGCCGACTTCAGCAACAATCGGCAAGTTCGTTCATCGTGCGCGCTGGGGAGTTCATTTGGGGCTCAGTCACGAGCATAAAGGCTGGCTCATTCTTGACATCGACAGCAAAGAGATCGTTCCTGCGCGTGACATCCTCTTCTATGAACGACTCACCCTGAAGTAGTGGATTGAGGACGAGTGCCGAAACCAGGCACGCGGCTATGTCAACAGCGGCCGCAGCTTCGCGACTCCAGAAGACGCAGCAGCAGCAGCAGTACTGGACCGTGACGACACCGACAAACATCCCGGCATTCCTCCTTGCCCGCGCGCCAACGACGACGATGACAGCGATGACGACCCCACGCTAGGACCATCACAGCGCCAAGCAGAGCCAAGCATCGCAGCACCCGGCTATGAGAGCGGAGATGACGACGTGGTGGAAGTCCCCACCAACACAGACACCACCAATGTATCAGGCCTTCAACTTCTCGGCCTGCACATATCTGTCTCTACTCTTGCACGGGCTGTGGAGCCAAAGAATCCTCGCCAGGCCCTAACCGGTCCTCACGCCAAGGAGTGGCGTGCTGCGATGGATGCGGAGCTAAAGGCGCTGGAATCGCGTGACACCTGGGTCCTAATCGATCGTGCAGCAGTGAAGGGGAGGAGGGTGTCAGAATCAGAAAGGTGTGTGAACTATGAAAAGATGGAGTACAAGAAGTAAACCCTAGTTTTGTGTACCCCCTAAAGGCGAACCCACTATAGCCTACACAACAACAACACATACAATGTTTGACACACCCCCATAGGCAAAGTGGGGGAGAGCAAGGGGTCACAAGACCAGTCAGGAAAGCAAAGCAAGCTCAGGGTGGATCACGACGTCACCACACATTCCGAGCACAAGCAAAGGGCCGTACGGCCAGTTCACATGCAGAAGTATATACGTAGTACAAACAGCAAGGGTGATCTCAGTCTAGCAGACCAAACGGGCAGGAGTATATATAGAGATCACAGTACAGGCAAAGCCTACAACAAGTAAGGAAAAGTGGGCACCAGCCCCAGCAAAGTACAGAAGCGCTGATGATCACCAGGCTGAAGTGCCTTGGTGAATATATCAGCGGTGTTGGCCTGAGAGGCCACGTAACGCAGACGAAGCTGACCACGCTGCTGCAGCTCTCGAGCAAGAAAGTAATGGAGAGCGATGTGCTTCGTTCTGTGCTCCAGTCTGTGCTCCTCACACAAGGCAATGGCGGCCTTGTTGTCGACGTACAGCACTGGAGGAGAACTAGGCCTCTCTCCAAGGTCAGTCAGCAGGTAGGTGAGCCAGCGTAACTCCTGTGCAGCCATGGCTGTGGCGTAGATCTCAGCCTCACAACTGGAGCTGAGAACTGAAGACGAACGTGTAGAGCGCCACGAAACTGAACCAGAACCAAGGCTGAAGGTGTAACCCTGTGACGACCGCTGAGTAGCCTGGTCGTCAACCCAAGAAGCGTTTGAGTGCCCAGCGAGAACAATTGAGCTCCCTCCTCCAAGCACGAGCCCCATGCCCGATGTACTGCACAGGTAGCACAACACCCTCTTTGCAGCATCCCAGTAAACCTTTCGATGCCTGCCAGGAGCTACGTAGCGGGCCAGAAGGCCAAGAGGGTATGCTAGGTCAGGACGAGTGCAAGTCATTAGGTAAATGAGGCAACCAACTAGCTCTGGGTGAAGACCACTCGACTCTACGGACTCATCCGAAGGCAGAGCTGAGAGCGAGTGACCTACAGCCAGAGGAGTGGCCTGTGCTGAGGACCAGGTGAAGCCGAAGCACTGAAGGACCTGCTGCACCATGTGTGACTGAGTCAGGGTAATGGTGCGGCGTGCTCTGTCCCGGGTGATCTGCAAGCCAAGGTAGCTGGGCAGTTCACCCAGGTCTGTGCACGTGTGTCTCTTCTGCAGCTCCGACTTCACGTCGGCGAGAGCCTCAGTGTCAGCAGTGGCAAAGACCAAGTCGTCGACGTACACATGGATGTAGAATGGTGGCAGCGAAGTGTCGGTGCGTAGAAACAGCGACGGGTCAGCAGTAGAAGGAGCGAAACCAAGTGCCGCAAGAGTATGTCTGAACATTATAGCTTACTTATTTGTGTAGGCTATAGTGGGGTATCCCATAGGGGGTACAACCCAATTAGGGTTTCATATTTGTACTCACTTCATTCATAGTACACACATTCTCGTTCTTTCTTTCACATGGAATCAGAGCAGGTTCCCTCCTAGGGACTGCTTCTAGGGCCCACCGAAGCGCGCCCCGAGGCGCGTTTTTTTTCCTTTTTTTTCGCGACCCGTTGTGTCGCCCCCAGCGGCCCGTCGCGCCGCCCTTCCCTTAGCGGCCCCGCCGCCCTTCGATCGCGGCTCCGCCGCGCTTCCTTAGCGGCCTCGCCGCCCTTCGATCGCGGCCCCGCCGCCCTTCGATCGCGGCTCCGCCGCCCTTCCTTAGCGGCCAGGCCGCCCTCTGCTAAGCGGCCGCGCCGCCATTCGATCGCGGACCCGCCGCCCTCTGCTAAGCGGCCCCGCCGACCTTCGATCGCGGCCCCGCCGCCCTCTGCTAAGCGGCCCCGCCGCCCTCTGCTAAGCGGCCCCGCCGCCTTGCTCACGCGGCCCCGCCGCCCTCTGCTACGCGGCCTCGCCGCCGCGTCGCCCGTGCACCTGCCCGTGCACCCGCCCGTGCACCTACCCGTGCGGCCGCCAGTGCAGCCGCCCGTGCGCAGCCTACGAGCCGCCCCAGCCGCCCGTGCATCGCCCGTGAGCCGCCCCAACCGCCCGTGCAGCCGCCCACGAGCCGTCCCAGCCGCCCGTGCGGCCGCCCGCGAGACGCCTGCGCCGCCCGAGCCGCCCGAGCCGCCCGCGAGACGCCCGCGCCGCCCGAGCCGCCCGAGCCGCCCGCGAGACGCCCGCGCCGCCCGAGCTGCCCGAGCCGCCCGCGAGACGCCCTCGCCGCCCGAGCCGCCCGAGCCGCCCGAACCGCCCGTGCCGCCCGAGCCGCCCGAGGAGCCGATCTTCTGCTCCTGTGAGGCTCCTACTGCTCCTGGGCCGGCGCAGCTACTGTGCTGCCGTGTTGCTGTGTCGCTGTGCTACCCGACTCTTCCTGCCCGGTGAGACTGTCAGCTGCTACAATGGCCACCCCCAGTGTCCTGACTTTTGACGCTGAGGGTCGCGCCATTGACTTTGCAGTCTGGATTGAGGACCTGCAGTTGTACTTACTGTGCGATGCGATCGATGAGGTTTCTCTCTTTGACTTTGTCTCTGGCGCTGTCCCTGCCCCTCCTGCTGATGCTGACCCCACTGTTCGCTCCAAGTGGGCCACACGCGATGCTGCTGCACGTCTTGCTGTGCGTCGCCACCTCCCTTCCTCCGAGCGTGCACACTTTAGTCAGTGCAAGACCGCTCAGGCCTTGTACGACGCTGTAGTTGCGCGCTACTCCTCCCCTTCCACTGCTACACTGAGCCGCCTCATGCTACCGTACCTCTTCCCTGACCTTGCTGCCTTTCCCACAGTCACTGACCTCTTTACCCACCTTCGCGCTAGTGACACTCGCTACCGAGCTGCGCTTCCTGCTGCCTTCCTCGCCGAAAACCCCCCTCCCATGTACATCACCCTCTACTTTCTAGTCACCCGTCTCCCTGAGTCCCTTCGTGCTGTTAGGGACCAGTTTCTCTCTGTCTGTCCCACCACCCTCACTGTCGACCTCCTTGAGAAGTCCCTGCTAGCGGCCGAGAAGAGCATAGTCGCTATAGGGGCCTCTCGTGGTGACCCGCGCACCCCCATCTTTGAGGGGTGTTCTCCTTCCCCCCTGCTACCCTCTGTCGCCTCTGCTGCTGCGGCCGACCTCGTTGGTTTAGAGTCGGTCGGTGCGGCGTCTGCCCCCACCTGTAGGCGCCGCTCTGGCAGGAGCAAGGGGGGCAAGGGAGCGGGTGGAGCTAGCGGGGGCGGTGGCGGAGGAGGTGGGGGCGGCGGGGGGAGTGGGGGTGGCGGTGGGGGTGGAGGCGGGAGTGGAGGTACTGGTGGCGGCGGTGGAGGCGGAGGTGGCGGCGGAGGTAGTGGCGGAGGAGGCAGTGGGAGCGGCGGGGGCGAGGGTGGCGGTGGCGGCGGTGGCGGCGGAGGCGGGGGTGGCGGTGGTGGAGGTGGTCGGAGTGGCTCGTCCCAGAGGAGCGGCACTGGGGGTGGTCAGCGCCAGCAGCAGCAGCAGCAGCAGCAGCAGCACTCTCGCGACGTCCCTGCCCCTCAGCAGCTCCGTGAGTGGTACTCGCAGCGTCAGCGTGGTGGGGCGTTCGGTCCCTGCACCTACGTCTTTCGCACCGGCGACCGCGCGGGTGAGCAATGTGGGGGCACCCACACCGCTCGCCGCTACTTTGCCCGCCTGACCGAAGCTTGGCGCCAGCAGTTTCCGTAGGCCTCTGAGATCCCCCGCTGGGGAGAGCTGTCTAGGGCTGGTGTAGCTGTGTTTGATCTTGACTTTGATGCTATCCTTGCTGCCATGTATGCTGTGACTGTTAGTGATGATGGTGACTGTTACCGGTGCTTTCCGCCCGACCCGGGCATTGGTACTGCTGTGTCAGGTGCCAGTGAGGCTGCTGCTCTAGGTACTAGTGCGTCTGTGCTCTCAGGTGCTAGTGAGTCTGCCCTCTCAGGTACTGTGTCGGCGTCTGCCTCCCACACCTTCACCCTTGACTCTGGGGCGTCTCGCTCCTTCTTTCGGGACCGCACCACTCTCACGCCGCTTAGTCGGCTGGTTGCGGTGTCCCTGGCTGACCCCTCTGGGGGTCCTGTCCTGTCTCGCTTCTCCACGGTCCTCCCGTGTCCGGCGGCTCCCTCTGGCACCCTGACTGGTCTTTACCTCCCCTCGTTCTCTACGAACCTGGTGAGTGGTGCTGACCTACAGGCTGTGGGGGTCCACCAGTTCACTCCTGCTCGTCAGCGGGTGACACACTGCACAGAGGCTAGCACAGGTCCCCACCTGGCTACGTTTACACGTCAGCCAGGGTCGAGCCTGTACACATTGACCACTGCTTCTCCTCCCGGTGCTGAGTCTGGTAGAGTCCCTTCGTCTGGTCAGGTGTTTGCTGCAGCGTCCAGGTCTGGTCCTGAGTCTGCCCCCTGTTCGTGTCGCCGTCTGTCTCACGAGACTCTCCTCTGGCACCACCGCCTTGGCCACCCCTCTCTGCTTCGGCTCAAAGGCATGGCCTCCCGTCTTCTTGTGTCTGGTCTCCCCCGGTCCCTCCCTCCCCTTCCTCAGGGCCCTGGCCCTGCCTGTGTCCCCTGTGTCGAGGGGCGCCAGCGTGCTGCCCCTCACTCCTCCCAGTTTCCTCCGACAGAGGCTCCGTTGCAGACGCTTCACATGGACGTGTGGGGCCCTGCCCGCGTCCGTGGACTCGGTCACGAGCGCTACTTCCTGTTAGTGGTTGACGACTACTCGCGTTACACCACAGTCTTCCCCTTGCGCAGCAAGGTTGATGTCACTGAGGTGCTGATCGACTGGATCCGCGCAGCTCGTCTCCAGCTCAGGCAGAGCTTTGGCTCGGACTTTCCTGTGTTGCGTCTGCACTCGGACAGAGGCGGAAAGTTCTCCTCTGCCCTTCTGCGTGCCTTCTGTCGTGCGCGAGGCATCCGCCAGACCTTCACGCTTCCGGACTCACCGCAGCAAAATGGGATTGCAGAGCGCCGCATTGGCATGGTCATGGACGTCGCTCGTACGTCTATGATGCATGCGGCTGCCCCCCATTTTCTGTGGCCGTTTGCGGTCAGGTACGCGGCGCATCAGATCAACCTCCATCCCAGGGTCTCCAGGCCGGAGACCTCCCCAGCCCTGCTGTGGACGGGGAAGGTTGGCGATGCGTCGGCGTTCCGAGTCTGGGGATCTCGGGCGTTTGTCCGCGACTTGTCTGCGGACAAGCTGTCCCCTCGCGCTGCTCCCTGCGTCTTCCTAGGGTTCCCCCCCGACGCCCCTGGGTGGCAGTTCTACCACCCCACCTCTCGACGTGTTCTGTCCTCCCAGGACGTCACGTTCGACGAGTCGGTACCCTACTACCGCCTCTTCCCCTACCGCACTCCTTCCCTTCCCCCGCCCCCGCTCTTCTTAGTACCAGGTCCCCCCCCAGTAGACCCCCTCCCCCCTCAGGGTCCTGCCCCTTCAGGTGTGTCCCAGGTAGACGCGGTCGAGCCTGTCAAGGTCACTGGTGACTCTGGTGCTGCTGCGGGAGCTGAGCCTGGGGGTGCTGAGCCTGGGGGTGCGGAGTCTGGGGGTGCTGAGCCTGGGGGTACTGAGTCTGGGGGTGCTGAGCCTGGGGGTGCTGAGTCTGGGGGTGCTGGGCCTGGGGGTGCTGCGACTGGGGGTGCTCCGCCTAGAGGGGCCTTGCCTGAGGGTGCTGAGCCTGGAGGTTCTTCGCCTGGAGGTTCTCCGCCTGGAGGTGCTTCGTTGCGCCGAGAGCCACTCTTCCCACAGGAGCTGCGTGGGTGGTTTGCCCGGCGCTGGAGGCGTACTGCTGGTGCTGGAGGTTCTTCGGCTGCAGAGGGTGCTGCTGCCGCGTGTCCCGGAGGTGCTTGTGCCATGGGTGCTGGAGATGCTGTGCCTGATGGTTCTCTTGGAGCTGGTGCTGCTGAGGGTGTTGGCGCTGAGACTACTGCTGGCGGTCCGACTGGCAGTGCTCCTGGTGCTGCTGGGAGTTCTAGTACTGCTGGAGGTGCTGCTGGAGGTGCTGCTGGAGCGGGTACTCCTGCTGGGGGTACTGGTGCTGTCCCTGCTGTTTCTGGCGTCGCCACGCGGCCCCGGCCGTACTTCGTTCCGCTCCTGCAGCAGGTTCTTGGTCTTACACCTTCTCCTGGTCCTCCTCCGCCTCCCTTAGAGGGTCTACAGCCTGTCCAGTCCAAGTCACAGCTACAGCCTGCCTCCCCTTTGCCTGCTCCTTCTCCCTACGCTGGTCCGACTGGAGGTCTTACTGAGCGTCATGAGCCTGCGTCTCGTCCTGCGTCGCCTGTTCGTCCTGCACGCACTAGTGGTCGCGGTTCGCGTCAGCGTCCTCCTCCTGTCCCTGGCACGCACCGGATGTCTCTGCGTCCGTCCACTGCTCCTCTGCGTGCCCCTTTGCCTTCTCCTCCTGAGTCCTCTCTTCCTGCTCTTGCCGACCTGGAGTCGGACTCTCTTCGTGCTGCCAGTCCCACTGTCACGCGTCTCCTTCCTACTGCTGTCACTGACCCTACCTTCGAGTCTTCTGCTGCGTCTGCCCTTGTCACTGAGCTTGTCGACTTTGCTGCGCGCTGTCGTCTAGACTACGCTGCTAGTCTTGTCGCTGAGTCTGAGTCTGCCTGTCCTCCGTCCGTCGGGGGTGAGTGTGCCCTAGGCACGGACGTCCTTGAGGACAGGCAGGAGGAGTTCCAGTGTCTGGCCGCCGCTTCACCTCATCTCGCGTCTGTACTGCTCGCCCCTGAGGGAGACCCGGATGCACTAGACATCCCGACTCCGCGCTCTTACGCGGAGGCGATAGAGGGTCCCTACTCCTCTCAGTGGCAGGCAGCTTTGGATGCAGAGATGGCTTCCTAGAAGTCCACAGGCACCTACGTTGACGCTGTTCCCCCTCCTGGGGCGAACATCCTCAGTGGCATGTGGATTTTCAGGGTGAAGCGGCCGCCTGGTTCTCCGCCTGTCTTCAAGGCGCGTTACGTGGCTCGTGGCTTTAGTCAGCGGCAAGGAGTTGACTACTTTCAGACCTTCTCCCCCACCCCGAAGATGACCACTCTTCGGGTACTGCTGCACGTTGCTGCTCACCGTGACTACGAGCTGCACTCTCTCGACTTCAGCACTGCTTTCTTACAGGGCAGCCTGCACGAGGAGATCTGGCTGCGTCGCCCGCCTGGCTTCACTGGGTCTTTTCCTCCTGGTACCCAGTGGAGTCTTCGGCGTCCAGTCTACGGTCTCCGCCAGGCGCCACGTGAGTGGCACGACACACTGAGGACTACGCTAGCGGCACTTGAGTTTGCTCCTTCTACTGCCGACCCGTCTCTGTTTCTGCGCACCGACACCTCTCTGCCGCCGTTCTACATCCTCGTGTACGTCGACGACTTGGTCTTTGCCACAACTGACACTGCTGGACTCGCCCACGTGAAGTCCGAGCTGCAGAAGAGACACACGTGCACTGACCTGGGTGAACTGCGTAGCTACCTTGGCTTGCAGATCACCCGGGACAGAGCACGCCGCACCATTACCCTGACTCAGTCACACATGGTGCAGCAGGTCCTTCAGCGCTTCGGCTTCACGTACTCCTCGCCTCAGGCTTCTCCTCTGCCTACTCGTCACTCGCTCTCAGCTCTGCCTTCGGATGAGTCCGTAGAGTCGAGTGGCCCGTATGCAGAGCTTGTTGGCTGCCTCATGTACCTGATGACCTGCACACGACCTGACCTTGCATACCCTCTTAGCATTCTCGCACGCTATGTTGCTCCTGGGAGACACCGACCAGAGCACATGGCTGCAGCGAAGAGGGTGTTGCGCTACTTGTGCAGTACGTCGGGCATGGGGCTAGTGCTTGGAGGGCGCAGTCCAGTGGTCCTCACAGGGCACGCGGACGCTTCTTGGGCTGACGACCAGGCTACGCAGCGGTCGTCACAGGGTTACACCTTCAGCCTTGGTTCCGGCTCTGTTTCGTGGCGGGCTACCCGCTCGTCTTCTGTTCTCGGCTCAAGTTGTGAGGCTGAGATCTACGCCGGGGCTATGGCTGCTCAGGAGCTTCGCTGGCTCACCTACCTGCTGACCGACCTTGGAGAGCCGCCTCGTTCTCCTCCAGTCCTGTACGTAGACAACAAGGCCATGCTGGCCTTGTGTCGAGAGTAGCGACTGGAGCACAGGACAAAGCACATTGCTCTCCGCTACTTTCTTGCTCGTGAGCTACAGCAGCGTGGACAGTTGCGACTTGCGTACGTGGCCTCTGAGGCCAACACTGCTGATGTCTTCACCAAGGCACTTGCGCCTTGTGATCATCAGCGTTGCTGCACGCAGCTGGGTCTTGTGCCTGTCTTGCCTCACTTGCTCACTTCTTGACCTTGTTTGTACCTTGACATATATATACTCTTGCTCTTGTTTGCTTGACTCTTGTATATCTCTATATATGATCTTGCATGTGAACTGGCCTTGTGGCCCTTGAACTTGTGCTCGGAATGTGTGGTGACTTTGTGATCCACCCTGAGCTTTGCTTTGCTTTACTTGACTGGTCTTGTGACCCCTTGTTCTCCCCCACTTTGCCTATGGGGGTGTGTCAGAACATTATAGCTTACTTATTTGTGTAGGCTATAGTGGGGTATCCCATAGGGGGTACAACCCAATTAGGGTTTCATATTTGTACTCACTTCATTCATAGTACACACATTCTCGTTCTTTGTTTCACAGAGTAGTCCTCAGTGTGTCGTGCCACTCACATGGTGCCTGGCGGAGACCTTAGACCGGCCGCCGGAGGCTCCACTGGGTACCAGGAGGAAACGACCCAGTGAAGCCAGGAGGGCGGCGCAGCCAGATCTCCTCGTGTAGACTGCCCTGCAAGAAAGCTGTGCTGAAGTCAATGGAGTGAAGCTCGTGCAACCTGCAGCAGTACCTGAAGAGTGGTCATCTTCGGGGTGGGGGAGAAGGTCTGAAAGAAGTCTACTCCCTCTCGCTGATTGAAGCCTCGAGCAACGTAACGAGCCTTGAAGACAGGCGGAGAACCCGTCGGCCGCTTCACCCTGAAAATCCACATGCCACTGACGATGTTCGCCCCAGGTGGGGGAACCTCGTCGACGGAGGTGCCTGTGGACTTCCAAGAAGCCATCTCTGCGTCCATGGCTGACTGCCACTGTGAGGAGTAGGGGCCCTCGATCGCCTCAGCGTAGGATCGAGGAGTCGGGATGTCTGGTGCATCCGGGTCTCCCTCAGGGGCAATCAGCATGGACACGAGATGGGGCGCAGCGGCTGCAAGAAATGAAGGTCCTCCTGTCTATCCTCAAGGACGTCCGTGCCTAGAGCACACTCACCCCCGACGGACGGAGGACAAACAGACTCAGACTCAGCAACAAGACTGGCAGCGTAGTCTAGACGACAGTGAGCAGCAAAGTCGACAAGCTCAGCAACTAGGGCAGACGCATCAGCAGACTCAAAGGAAGGGTCAGTGACAGCAGTGGCCAGGAGACGCGTGACAGTAGGACTGGCAGCACGAACGGAGTCAGACTCCGGGTTAGCAAGGGCAGGAAGAGAGGACGGGGGAGGAGACGGCAGAGGGACACGCTGTGGAGAAGTGGAGGGACGCAGTAACCTCCGGTGTGTGCCAGGGACAGGTGGCGGACACTCACGTGGTATACGGCGGCTAGCACGAGCAGTACGAGCAGGTGATGCCAGACGGGACACAGGCGACACAGGACGAGACTCAAGCTCACGACGCTCTGT